CCCCTATCCCCTCCCTTCCTCCCCCCCCCCCCCCCCCCCCCCCCCCCCCCCCCCCCACCTAAAGAAGGACATAGTTTGGCACAGCAACTGGCTCTGTAGGGTTCTGTTTAAACAATATATGTTTACATTCTTCACTTTCAATTAAACCATGAGCAAAAGTCGCCAAGTGATCTGTACTTATCAATGTTAATAACAAATGAATAAATGAAACGGGCATTATGGTGAATTTCGGCTCATTGTTGTTGCTGTCCAGCAACTTCTGCCCAACACATAAAAAAGAAATCAAAAGTCAGACTCTGGACCTTGTCCTGTCATTTGGCCTCTCCCTTAGCGAGTTTTTCTATGAGACACCTGCGTGTCCGACCATGATGTGTTTTCATGGTTTGACACTCAGCTTTACCAAAATTGCCTGTCCATACCCACTCTCCCACTCTACTGCAGCCAGCCTCTTCTCTAATGCCGGCTGTGCCGATTCCACAGCCTTTGTTATTGCACTGTCCTCTCGCTTAAACACTGATAACTTAATTGACCTCTTCCACAAGTCCTGTCTGTCTTTTCTAGACTCCTTTACACCTCTTAAGATCAGAGCTAGGAAGACTAAGGCAGACCTTTGGCTGAATGAGTTTACCCACTCTATTAGAAGGGACTGCCGGAAAGCAGAGACTGCACTTTCTACATTGTCACTCTCTAAATAACACCCCCAGCATTGGGTTGAACATCTTGCACTTAATCAAAGATCTCTCACTGGCTATGTTGGACCCTCCTGCTCCTAATCATTTCTGCGCCGTCTCTTTACCCCCACGTAGGGGTAGAATTGCAGGCCTGATGCCCACTAGCTGTCATTTTGAAGCAGTTGGTCGTAGCTTACTGACAACTTTGAACAGTTCTCTAGCCACATGTACCATCCCGTCTTGTTTAAAGCACACCTGATTTCAGACACTCCTCAAAAAGCCTGGTCTTGACCCGGCCAATTTCCAAGCTTCTTTCTTGTCTAAGGTTTTAGAAAAAACGTTGTTTTTAATTAGAATCTGTCCTTTTTGAAACAAAACAGTAAATTCTAGAAATTCCAGTCAGGGTTCGGGAACTCTATAGCACACAGAAATCTCTGCTAAGAGTGACAACTGACCTCTGTGCTGCAGATGCTGGTAAATGACAATTATTCTAGATCTCAGTGCAGCTTTTGATATCGTCGCCCACGCCATTCTGTTGGATCACTTGACACGCTGGGTCGGGATTTCTGGGGCTGCCCTTGATTGGTTCCACTCTTACATTTCAAACATTTCATTGTTTTCAATGGCAGCTCATCCTCCACACCTGGAAATATTTCATGTGGGTGGGGTTCTCCTAAGTTTGGTTTTGGGTCCACTTCTCTTCTGTCTTTATGCTCCCAATGGGAAGAATCATCTCACCTCTTTTCACTGCTATGCTGATAAATAGTGAATGGACTGTACTTATAAACGCTTTAGTATTCCGATCACTTAAAGCGCTTTAACACTACATGTCATCATTCACCCATTCATACACTGATGGCTATCAGCCCATTCATACAACATTCACACACAGCTATGGGAACAATTTGTGTCTCGCATGGATGCTGTGATTGAAGGACGGCCCTGCTCTACCACTGAGTCACCCCTGGTCCTCAGATACTGCCTCTAAATTCCCAAAGTCAGGCCTATTTAACGACAACGTACAACTGTCTCCAAGACTTTAAAGACGTTAGTTAGCTCAGAATTTCTTTTAGTTTAAGCTTGGGTTGGTAATCTTTAAAACATTTTCAAAAATATTTTTGTTGAAACTCTTTTTACATCCTGACAGCAATCCATAAATCAAATACTCTGGTATGTTGCAGGACTGTAATAAGCCCGTCCAGTCGTTTCATTCTGCCCGGATGTGATGGTTCCTTTGGACTGGAGCGGCCTGCCGCAGGCTTGTTAGACAGGCCGATCTGTTGATGCACCTTAACACCCACTTCTATTGAACCCGTTCTATTCTATCCTCTGGGTTAATGTGTTGAAACTTTTATTCATTTCCATGGACATATCTCAATGCTTGTAATTGTAGGCTTATGTATATGTATTTTTGAAGCACCCAATATAAATATATATTTAATAAACACACTTACACACCTGGACACACACACACACACACACAGCGCCATCAACAGACGGAGAAGGGCAAAAACTCATCCGCTCCATAGTTTTGAAGCATTGCATTAAAAAAGCTACGGAAACTTCAAAATAAAAAATAAAACTTCCTGAATTGCACAAAAAGCAATAAATGGATTATAAAAACACTTTAGATGAATAATTTAACCAGTATATTCTTACTACACATCAAAATATGGGCTATAGAGGAAAACTGTGTTTTTATGTAGTTACAGTTTTAACGCAAAGATCAAAATGAAGGATTTCCTCCCTCAAAACCCAGAAATGAAGGCGAAGCATTTCTGAAAAATGGAAACTAAAACTTTGAATGGAAGCCACGTAACCAATAAGAATTTATTGACACAAGCACAATTTGTTACACAAAAATAATGGGTCACATTTACACAATTTATACAGGTCTAGAACTCAATGTACAATTAACAGACTAACTAAATACCAATAGTTAAATATGTACTCACATTGCACACAATATCATTAAAACCTACACAAAAAACATGTACTGTGTGAAAGTAACACGAGTCGACATAAAAATCGCATTATTTACAAAAAACGTGGATTTGAGATCTTTAGCAAAAGGACTCTGATGTCTGTTGGAGGTTCTCATATCCGTCTGTCAGAGAGATTATACAATCTATCATGTAAAAGCTCCCCGCTAGAAAGTATTATTCAGTCTCTTAATAGTTGAAAAGATTATAAAGTAATAAAGTCAAGTAGCCAGAGCTGAAGAACACCAAATACACTAAATACTGCGCTTTGCTTGGACGGTATGGCGGTTTTTCCCTTTTAAAGCAGGCTGGTGAGATTAGCAGTTAGCTTCATGAAGTGCACTTTAAGCCTTAGTTTAGCAACTGTCTGCAATGAGTGTTTTTATTTAAATTTAAATTTATACATAGAATCCTTCAATACTCGCATCAGGTTGTGGACATCACTACACACAGTTCACACAGTAAGGTTGATGTGGAGAGGGAGGACAGCAGCAGCTGCTCCTCTCCGGCAGCGATGGTGTGCAAGAGGCTGCACCCGGCAGATGGAGGTGGACATCTACAACACTCACAGGAATCTCACTGAGTGGGAACATCGATACGGAGTTATGCTGACTCGACTGCTGCTCTCCACAGTCACTGCAGGTGTTACCAGAGGAGGCGGTCGGTCCACTGCTGCTTTATTGGTCCTATTGTGATATTCTGTACATATGCTCACGCATGAAGCATGCCGATACAATTATTCATGAATGGATGTCAACATGACTGTGTTGTACGTTGGCTGAACATAAACCAGACTTGCTCTGATAATAATATCTGCAGCAGCTTCTGTGTCACATTACGATACATGTGGCTGCTCAAATGTACGACTTAGTGCATGTTATTGTTATAGTTATATGAACTGGCTGAGCGCATATTAACCTGTGGTGAACACTAGAATATAAGTGCTGCTGTATGGGAGTGTTGAGACTGTGATGGATGATGTGCTGCTCACTCTCAGCCCTATAGGCATGGTGCACAATGATGAGGGACACTACCTATTATCTCTACGTCTTCTTTTGAAAATGGATCATTCAATGTGCACAGAGTAGTTATGGAAGCCCTGAGAGGCAAGTGTGAAAAATGATATTGTGGTGATGCATTTTCTAAATTTGATCTGAATAGTCTTCTCCCTTGTTACAAATTACAACTCAAAGAAAATTCTCATGCCAACAGCTTTTGTTTCTACTGTTCTTGAGTCATAAACACAGAAAAGAAAACTCTTTAGATCAGACTTGGATCACCAGAATGTCTCGCTTGCCTCTCTGGGCTTCCGTAGTAAGTTCATGTTTTGCAGTCATTTTGAAAACCCAATCACAGTTGAGCAAGTACTCTGAAAACTTTGGGCAACTGTTGTGGCATTGTACAGATAAGTAATGATAAATGTAATGAAATGTGAAGACACTGTACTGTGGAACTCTGTGTCAGCTCTACATCAACACCACCACTAAGCCCAAAATGATACATTATCTGATCAAATCTTTCTTGTTAAGTCAATAAAGTAATATTTAGGTCAAATTTTCAGTTGTACAACAGGAGCTAAAATGAGCACATTAAAAGCAACTTGAAAAGAATAAAATCTTGGCTCGAACCTTCAGACGGTGCTTTGTGTCAACCCTGTTGAGGTACTACTTCTAGTGACATGGACTGACTCACGGTGTAGATGCTGTGCAGCCGATGAGGAGCATGGAACAGCTTGTCCCTTTGTTGTTGAGAGCAGAATGATTTATGTTGTAATTCCATCCTGATAAAAGACCTGACATACTCCAAACCAGATGTGGATGCTGGCATCAGGCAGCTCTGCCCATCACTGGGTGCAGCGTATGTGTAATTGGCACAGGCATACATTTTGGTCATCTGCATGGACTGCTGACAAAAAATGACTTTGTCAAATGTGAAAGACAGGAAGAGTAAAATCTGTGCTAATCACAGTGCTAGTCTGTGACAGATAACGCTGACTGGCCTCCTCTGGTCATGCTGATGCTGCCTGCAGGGAGCCGCACAGACGGCGCCATTGGTTCTGAGAGCTGGAGACGATGTCTCTCAGTGTGAAGACAGAGAGCTGAGACCGGTTGACTGATGAGCCCTCCATCTGTCAGCAGGGATCCTCTTTGCACAGATGAGGTATGTGTATGCTCACAGGTACATACTGCAGGCCTGTGTGTGTGTATGTGCACCCAGACATTCACCGTGCTGCACATCAGCTGCGTGTTGGTGATCCAGCAATATAGAAAAATGAGACAACATGACAGATGAACACAAACTTCAGTCCAGTTCTGAGAGGGAGAGAGGAGGAGAGGGGGGGGCGGTGTGTATTACTCAGAGAAGGGAGGGAACATGCCGAGGTCAGCGAAGTCCTCTATGTTGTAGTTGGCTGTTCCCTGGGTGGGATCTCCGGCCATGGGCAACATGTCCTGCAGAGACACGGATACATATCACATATCTGTGTACGATGGTCAGCAGCCAGCAGCTGGAAGACTCTGTGTGTCAGAGTGTGTGTGTGTTACCTGGAAGACTTCTGTCTGGCTGGGGTTGGGGTGTGTGTGCTGTTCCCCGGCCTGCTGGGAGTGATGCTGGTTCTGCCACTGGGACCAGACCTCACTGGGCCGACCCTGGAACTGGGCTCCACTCTGACTGCTCTCCCCCGACACATCTGGAAACACACAGAGGGAGTCACTCAGACATGAGTTTCACTGATTGCATATTTAAAGTAGAGTGAAACCCACGGTACGTTGTGGTTAAATGGCGCGTTCAGAACATTAGTATTATTACTATGTGAGGAGATAGTGCAGGAATGTCTACCTGAGCACAGAATGGAGAACATACAACCCATACAGTCTGTGGTGTGGTGTATTTGAGTAATTGAGATGCCTCCAATCTGCTGTACTACACGGCTATGCATAATGCAGCATTGGGGGCATTTTACACAACTGAATGCTTATCGATCGAATGATGTACTCTTTTGGTTTCGGTATCACTTTAAGGGTACTTAGATCGTCATTTTCTAAACAATACCCAGCCCTACTAAAATAGGATCAATATTCTCATAAACACTGGAGAAATGGGAGGTCTGATATAAGTCTTTGTCACATAAAGGCCTGCTTCTCTGCGCTGTTACTAGTATTTTAAAATGTCATACACAAACTAATTAATTGCCTGACTGACAATTCTGAGCTGCAGCTAAAATCTCCAACACGAGATATGAATGTACACACACACACACACACACACACACACACACACACACTCTCGGCGAGGCTGTTTTGAGAGTTTACCGAGTACATCAAAGCAAAGCAGAATGATAAGCTGTCGGCCTCCCCAGCAGAGGCACATTCTTACTGTTTCACAATAAAGAACTAAAGGCTGATATTTTCTCTGGCCAGATAAGAGCAAGAGGCTGAGTCGCTGATGGAGAGAGGAAAGAGAGCACATGTAAAAAATACAGATGGAACAGTAATTACCCAAACACAGAGGAGGCTGCTCTTGTAAACATGAAGTGGAAAGCATACAAGATAAGGAAAAAGCAGAGCTTCTCACTCGTGAATACTAATGAACACATGCAACAACAGAGCAAATGAATGGCACTGGCTGTTACTGACTTCTTCATCCTTCAAATGGGCTGACAGCAAAGAGAGAGAGAGAGAGAGAGAGAGAGAGAGAGAGAGAGAGAGAGAGAGAGAGAGGATAGACAGATGACGACGGACGATGGATGGATGGAAAGTAAAAATCCAAGTCACAAAACGATCCTGAGGAAATAAAGGATACATAAAGGAGGTGGCAGAAAGACAGATCATGCATTTGGCTAATGTGTGTGTCCATTAAAAGGCTATCAAGGAGCCGTTACAGGCTGGACATGCTCAGTTCTACAGCCATGTAGGATTGAGCAGCTGGCTGATGAGCCATCACTCACTGCACACACGGAAACCTTCAAAATCCTGTTTCTGCTGTTACCCCATTTAAAGCCAGGCAAGCAGTGTGGCTCCAGGTGATGAGATGAGGTCAGTCCACCCCTGTGATTCAGAGTGAATCTATTTTAATTATGGATTATTTAATTAAAAGATTATTTCTTGATCTACAACCGTGAAAAATGCTGCTCCCAGAGCCCTGGTTGTGGCTCTCGTGGTGTCTATCTGACTCTCGTGGTGTCTATCTGACTCTCGTGGTGTCTATCTG